CTCCATTTGGAGACCAGAAATCTCAACAACTGAGAAGGTTGATAACTCTTAGCGTCTTGCGCTTTAGACCACTCGGCTATTCTGACATAATCAGGCAAGAATGTGAAGGGCAATTCTATCACTGGAGTTGGTCAGAAGCAAAATAAAGGATCCAAAATAAAGCATTTACTGTCTCATAATTACTTAAAATTCTACTTCTAGTCTGGTCACTCTAAAATAGCCTTTGTCAGAAGTGGGATTTGAACCCACGGCTCCATTTGGAGACTAGAAATCTCAGCAAATGAGAAGATTAACATGCCTTGAGTCTGGCCCCTTAGACCACTCAGCCATTCTGACATAACCACTCAAGGACGTAAAGGGCAACTCTATCATTGGAGTTGGTCAGATGGCAAGATAAAGGATCCAAAATATATCATTTACTGTCTCATGATTACTTCAAATTCTACTTCTAGTCTGGTCACTCTAAAAGAGGCTTTGTCAGAAGTGGGATTTGAACCCACGCCTCCATTTGGAGATTAGAAACCTCAGCAAATGAGAAGGTTGATAAACCTTGAGTCTGGCGCCTTAGACCGGCGCCTCGGTCATTCTGACACAATCACACAATAATGTGAAGGGCAATTCTATCCCTGGAGTTGGTCAGATGGCAAAATAAAGGATCCAAAGTATGTAATTTACTGTCTCATAATTACTTCCAATTCTACTTCTAGTCTGTTCACTCTAAAAGAGCCTTTGTCAGAAGTGGGATTTGAACCCACGACTCCATTTGGAGACCAGTAACGGGGAATTCTATCACTGGAGTTGGTCAGATGGCAAAATAAAGGATCCAAAATATGTATTTACTCTTTCATAATTACTTCCAATTATACTTCTAGTCTGGTCCCTCTAAAACAGGCTTTGTTGGAAGTGAACCCACGCCTCCATTTGGAGACTAGAACCCTCAGTAAATGAGATGGTTCATATGCCTTGAGTCTGGCCCCTTAGACCACTCAGCAACAACTGAGAAGGTTGACTTGTTTTGAGTCTGGCGCCTTAGAGCACTCGGCCATTCTGACATACTCACGCAAGAATGTGAAAGGCAATTCTATAACTGGATTTGTTCAATTGGCCAAGTAAAGGATGCAAAATATATAATTTACTGTCTCATAATTACTTCAAATTCTACTTCTAGTCTGTTCATTCTAAAAGAGCCGTTGTCAGAAGTGGGATTTGAACCCACGCCTCCATTTGGAGACCAGAAACCTCAACAACTGAGAAGGTTGATATGTCTTGAGTCTCACACATTAGACCACTCGGCCATTCTGATACGCTCACGCAAGAATGTGAAGGGCAATTCTATCCCTGGAGCTGGTCAGATCATTCAAGGACGTAAAGGGCAACTCTATCCCTGGAGCTGGTCAGATGGCAAAATAAAGGATCCAAAGTATGTAATTTACTGTCTCATAATTACTTCCAATTCTACTTCTAGTCTGTTAACTCTAAAAGAGCCTTTGTCAGAAGTGGGATTTGAACCAACGCCTCCATTTGGAGACTAGAACCCTCAGCAAATGAGAAGGTTGATATGCCTTGAGTCTGGCCCCTTACACCACTCGGCCATTCTGACATTCTTACGCAAAAATGTGAAGGGCAATTCTATCACTGGAGTTGGTCAAATGGCAAAATAAAGGATCCAAAATATGTGCTTACTGTTTCATAATTACTTCCAATTCTACTTCTAGTCTGTTCACTCTAAAAGAGGCTTTGTCAGAAGTGGGATTTGAACCCACAGCTCCATTTGGACACCAGAAACCTCAACAACTGAGACGGTTCATAAACCTTGAGTCTGGCGCCTTAGACCGCTCAGCCATTCTGACATAGTCATGCAATAATGTGAAGGGCAATTCTATCCCTGGAGCTGGTCAG